ACCCCCAGCAATCGCGTCTTTACTTTAAAAAGCCAGGCTCAAATCGTGACTCACAAATCGCAAAGAACAAAAAAAAACCGAAGTAAAAATCCTTACTTTCCCTCGTCTGGTTTGGGCTTTTTCGTGCGATTAGCCGATCCGTCGGCGTCCCGCTTCTTCCGCTTCCCATCCGTGGATCCACAGAAGCGTCTGACCAGCTCAAGAAACGATGGCGTCACATCCGACATGGCAAACGTCATTTCTTGTTGATGGAATGCATGCTTCTCTAAATCGTACACTGTTCACCTTCGAAACCTGCAAGACTGTAGATAGCCACAAATTCGTACCAAGCTTGAGATTCATGTCATATTGGACAGGATACGGCTTAGCATGGGGAGTGTTGAAATGAATAATTAGCTTTGGCGTGAACGATGCATAACCGGTTTCTTCTAGTTCGAACGGTGGCTCTTTGAGCACTCGAAAAGGATTTGCAAATGTAGGATGCAATTCCACTTCCACCTAGAATTGTATTATGACAGGTGTTTGAAGAAAAATTCAACAGTCTGTTCTTATTGTATTGTAAAAAGATGCCATTGGAGAGATGAATAGAGAAATCACTGAAAATGAAAATGAAATCGGAAGATGGAAGCAAAGCGAGTAAAACTAGAGCAGAGAAAATTCAATTAACTAATTCAGCACATTTCGGACCATGTAATCACTTGGATGAAGACTTCCAACGAAATCAAATGATGCGGTTCTTCTTCATGCATTCAATTGGAGCACATCATTGTCTGGTACCGCCCACACCTATCGAACGCACGGACGCCGCTTCATTTAACGCCCTTGGTACTTCATCACTTCCTGAAGTTGTACCCTCACGTTTCTGGGTCCCATAAACCACCATCCAATGTGGAACACTGCTAACGAAATTATCGACAGATTTTCCATTATGGAAGAAAAGTAAAGGTGACGGAAGTGCGCGCAATATGGCGAACCCGAATGTGCTAAGGCTGTGTTCATACCGTGCGACGTCGACGTCAACGTCGACGAAAGCTGCGTAAGTTGCGTAAGCTGCGACTAGTTCGTGAAGATACATACGTATCGATCCGACGAAAGCTGCGTAAGCTGCGTAAGTTGCGTAAGCTGCGTAACCGACGACTACTTCGCGAAGATAGATACGTATCGATTCGACGACGCAACTTACGCAGCTTTCGTCGGATCGATACGTATATAATCTTCACGAACTAGTCGCAGAAAACGCAGGTTGCGACGACGTTGACGACGACGTCGCACGGTATGAACGCAGCCCTAACGGCACTGCCCAAGCTTATAGTATATTCGGTCAATCACTGTGCATTTTTTTATGAGGGCGCTAGTCTTTTTCACCCTCTTAGAAGGAGAACAGAATCTGCTGAGGAGCCGCTAGTGTTGACCATCACCGCGCGTACCAGCAGCGTATAATGTCCATCAAGGATGAAGTTCACCCCAAAAATTGTGAGCGGTGCTTTCGGTAACAACCAGCGCTGAAGGGTGTGCCAGACGTTTTTTGCGAATCTCAATGACAGAATGCCTGAGCTAGTTAGTTGAAAGTTCCACCACATTACCACCTGGCTTAACGACACATTCCGAGATCATGGGAAAGACATTCGCAACCACTGGCATTTATCGTATTGGAAGTGATGCACCAGTGAGGTAGACACAGTTGTACCTCTCCTCCCCATCCGATCATCCGATGACGCGGAATGTGTCTTTGAACCAATAATTTGTAAAAAAAATAATCGTAACAACCAAAAAGAAAGTAAGCAATACAGTAAAAAGCAAACAGCTAATTAATTTCCCGGAAAATTCACAAAAATTCGGAATGAAAACCACAATCAAAAGGATGAAGAACGAGGTACAGAGTAAAAAAAACGTAAGGCACCTTGCTAAGGAATGTTCTGTCCGTAAACTTTGACCCTATGATAGGGCGTACGAAAAGAATCCATCGGAATCGATGATTATTTGGCAGAGGCTTTTCGAGGGCAAATGATTCGTGGCCAATGAGCACCTGAAAACTAGTACTTCTTCGGAAGTAAAAATACAGCTTTTAAAGGTGAGATTTTTACAAATACTCAACAAACTTTCGATTTCAACCGTTTTCAACATTCTACGGCTGCCACAACTTCTTTCACTCGCCCTGGTATAATTGCGCTTCAGATTTAGTTAGCTGCCACTGTTTCTCGGCCTACTACCTGCTATCGTTACCACTAACTCGCTTACGGTAGTGATTTTGAAGAAGACGCGGAAAGCCATCTTTTGGCAGGATAACCTGCAGTCAAATAATTCGATTCATCAACTTTTTCCTGGCAATTCGCCAGTCATCTACCTCCAATCGCTCCCACCAACTGCCTCTAATGAGTTCATTTGATTAAGTCTGACATTTCATAAATCTGTCAATTTTTGTGATGGATTGCACTCCCTTACCCACCGTCGCGCTCATCTTTAATCATTCGCTGCCGCTAGCTTTAGCCCCTCGCTTCCTCTTGCAGATTTGAAGAGTTTTCTCCGCTTCCGCATGCCGGTGGTAGAGGCTCAAATATGAATCTTCTGGTCATTGAGTGGTTTGAAAAGTCAAAGGAAAAACGAAACAGCCAAAAAGTTCCCAATAAGACCCGATTTTTGGAGCTGTGAGATATGGATAGGTGCGCGACGAAGCGAAATGTGAGAATACACTGGATGCACGGACAAAAAAAA